CCTACAGACCCAGCTCTGGTTTGCTGTGCAGCTGTGTCATTTTGCTGTGGTTGAAGAGCAACTGAGAAAAGAAGGGAAGGTGGGTTCCCCCCCAGCCTCCTGGCCAGGGGGCACACCAGGGGTGCAGAGAAAGCCTTACCTAGAGGCATGGCTAAGCAGGAAAACAGGAGGGAGGGGTGGGGAGTGCCACTGAAATGGCACTAAGCTTCCCATCACTGCCTACCGGTTCATTGGGAGGGATGGGTAACAGGGAAGGTACTTTCCAGAGACTTCTGGCAGCAGGACAAGTCTCCTATTTGCTTGTCCTCCCGATTTTCTCTTTAACCTCCAGTTTTTACTGCTACTGTGCGTAAAGAGAAGATGGGTGCATCTGAGGGCAGAGAGCTTGGGTCCCCCCTCCCCTTCCAAAGGGTGCTCTGAGCCCTGGGATCTGGGCATGGGTGCGCCCAGTTCGGGGCTGAACCCACACTGCAATGAGCTGTAGCACCTACAGCTTGTAAAAGCTCAGAGCTGAGCGCTACGTGGGTACAAGGGTCCCCACACCAGACAACTTCTGGGCTCAGCTTGACTCCAGGGACCCAGGCCAGGAAAAGCACCCTGGTCTCATGCTCCAGTCCTGGGGATCAGACCCAAGAAGGCAGACCACGGAGGTGCAGGCTGGGTGATACCACCAGGGAGAGCCTAGCTGCAGAAGGAGGGTGGCAGGGATGGCACCAGCTCCTGCTCAGAGCCCCACAGCCTAGCCAAGGGTGCTGGCATCTTCCCACAGGACCAATCTCAGCAGAAAGTGTCCAGACAAGCAGCACTGGTGATGACATACTGGGAATGAAAGGGGAGCAAGCAGGGGCCTGGGGAGGAGAGGTGCCAGGCCTGGATCCTCTCCATCACCCACATATGTTACTGTTTGGGCAAGAGCAAACAGCACAATGGGATGAGACTAAAGGGGCTTTTCCTCACCTGGCTTCCCATCCTTCCCAAGCGTCCACATGTCCCATCTCCCCACAAAAACTCATGCTGGTCCCTGAGCCCTGCCAGCCATGTCCGGCACTGGTGCCAAGGGAGCTGTGCTCATGGAGAGCAGCCCTGGCACCAAGCGGAGGAGACCACCAGCACAGGGGACAACTGGTCTTTGCACCAGCAAATGTACCCTGGGCATGTCCACAGCTCCCATGGATTCCTCTGCACCAGGGACCGATGTGAAGAGGCAGCGTTTGGGCTGTGGGAGGGGAACAGCTTTTAGCCCCCACAGTGCTGCTCACCTTGCCTGCAGGTGCAAGCGGGGACAGTGCAGCCAGCTCCTCCCCTGTCCCTCCAGGAGCAATGTGTGCAACACTGGGATGGAAAAAGCTCCTGTACACCATCTCTTTGGAGGCAAGGGACAAAACCAGTTCCAGTAAAGCCCATGGAAGGGGTATTATGGCACCAAGTGAGACCAGCATAGCATTTCCCTTTGGTGCCTGCTCTTGCTGCAGAGAAGCAGAGGGGTGCTTTTGGTATGGACCTTCAAACCTATCTCCTGGCTGGGAATGTCCATGCCAGGTCAGACCCTGAGACTGCAGCAGATTGTTCCTGCTGTGTCTTATGCCCCTTGAATGCAGCCTGGGAAGCATCCAAGACAGCTTTTGCTGTGCCTGGGAGAGACAGGAGCGCTCTCAAGAGCTCATGAGACCTGGCAGCCAGAGAGCAACCCAAAGCACGCTCAATTTGCTTGCATAGACGCAGCCTTGTCTTTCTTTCCTGGCCTTGTGCAGTCACCAAGAGAGCGGCTGTTTTGTCAGCTCCCTAGGAAAGCTTTCCAGTTATACTGCCTTATTATTCCACAACACATGAAATACAGGTCCCAGGCGTGGATAAGGGACTGCGGGTGATTCAGCCAGTGCTCCGGAACACCCCACAGCAAAGTGATCCCTGCACATAGCCCCGGACCTACCGAGGGCACGTCTGCCTCACACTGCAAGGGCTCCTGATCCTGCCCCACCAGCCCCTGAGGATGCAGTGAGGGTAGGCAAACAGCAGGGAAAACACAGCTGGGGAGAAAGAAATGGGAGGACTTGGAACATTTTTTTGCTGAAACTAGCTCTTGGCTGGTACTTGAAGTTTTTGATGTGGCAGTGACTAGCTGCTTTCTCTAAGGAAGAGTGGCTGCTTCCCTCTAAATAGATCATTGACATTTTGTATCAGAAAAACTCACTCCGTAGTTTACAAAGTACTGAGCCCTGGTGGTTTTTGACAGATTTCCAAGAGTCGGGCTCTGGAGTAGGGACAGCTGTTGCAAGGCTGGAGGAGGGACAGCCAGCCGGGACCACATACCTGGCCGGGGACAGCATCCCCTCCTGCCCTTCATGGGGGAGTGAGGGCAGCCTGCTGCTGGAGCTGGGGCCTGGCTCACCGCTCCCTTGAGAGCCACAAGGACCTGGCAGGGACCTCTGATGAATGGCTGCACTGCTCCGCGGAGGGCGCGTTTAGGGACCACATACCTGGCCGGGGACAGCATCCCCTCCTGCCCTTCATGGGGGAGTGAGGGCAGCCTGCTGCTGGAGCTGGGGCCTGGCTCACCGCTCCCTTGAGAGCCACAAGGACCTGGCAGGGACCTCTTGATGAATGGTGCACTGCTCCGCGGAGGGCGCATTTACTGCTCCCAGAGGAGATGGGAGCCATGAGCTTTGCAACCATGCTCTTACAGGCAGCTTGGCCAAGCAGTCCTCCAGCCCTGATGGAAATAGATAAACCTACTTCCAACATCCAAGAGATCGGTGCAGGTCCCTTCTTCCTCAGCTTTCCAAGGCACTGGAAACCATGCTTTTTGTCAGAGTACTCTCGGGCCAAGGGTGAACCTGATGCACCTCAGGCTAAGCCCTTCCTGCACCCCCTGTCCTGCCCAGGGACCCACACCAGCTGTAGCAGCTCAGCCCCCAGTGCAGATCCACACTGAGCATCCTCTTCCTCCCCAGCCACGGCCCCTCAAGGGTCACCAAGTGAGTAGCAGGAAGGCTTCTGCCCAAGCAAGCACAAGTTATCCTCCTTTCCCACTCATGCTGTTTGTCTTGGCCTCCCTCCCCATATCAGCCTTCCTTCTCTGACTCCTCCTCCTCAGGATTGTATTGCTGGGCTGCCACTATAGTTAATGAGCTGAGACAGAGCTTGTGCTCTGGGAAAGTCACGCCAAGAGACAGCCGAGCCCAGGGCATTGCTTGTGCACAGATACTAGAGAGAGGTACCTTGCAGGGGGGAACACCTGAAAAAGAAACCCAGGCCACCAACCAGGGGAGCCGGCAGCCCAGGAGAGGAAAAGGGCCAGGGCTAAATTTTCATTCAACAAGTCTCAGCAAAAGCCATCAGGTGCCTGGATATCCTGTGGCTTGGACAGTCCAGTCACCGCACCACCATGGATGCCATCCCCAGGAGGGGCTGGTGGCCACATCCCTCCTGCCTTCAGGAACAGTCCCTGGGCCATCTCACTCCCAGCCAGTGCCCAGGCTTGCTGGTAGGGACAGCGTAATTAATTTAACGATGTGGACAGTCACATCTGACACTGTGGTCTTTGAGGGGGGAGCACAGTGGCTGGCTGTTGGCTCTGCAAACCCCATTCATGCATGTTTGGCCCATGCTTCACCCAAACAGAGTAGCTTTACTCAAACATCGCATGGCATGGGCAAAAGGGCAATTCCCAAGGGACTTAAGGCCGCTTTGGGGCAGCAAGACCAGTGCACAGACTCAGGAGACCCAAGGCTTGGGAGGAAAATGGCCAGGTACTCCCAGCTCATTGGCAATGAGGGACAGGAGTGGGTGCACTGCCCTCCATGCCTTGTGGGCGGATGTTCCCAGGAGCAGGCATCTTCACCTGCCTCCATTTCCCCAAAAGCTCTTTCTCCTCCCCTGCACTCCTGCTGCTAGCAAGCACCAAACTGCCAGGGCAGCAGCGCAGAGCAAGGCGCCTGCCTCACCACGGTGCTGAGAGCTCCCAGGAGACACCTCAGCCCAGATGCTGCAGAAAGTGTCCTTCACCCCCATGAAAACCCCTTTATCCCCCTTGCACCCCAGCGCAGCCCCCTTGCTGCTGCAGCATCGCAGGCAGCGCTGGCTGTGCATCCCACACTCTGCACTGGCCTTCGGGCTCAAACACGAGGCAAATCAACCACCTGCTGGCTTTTCTTTTTATTTAACAAAATCACAGCACAATAAAAAAAGAGAGAAAAGAAGCAACTTACACCCGTAATTGTGGCATCAATGAGACCTGAGAGCAGTGCGAACAGTGCTTGTGCATCCCTGCCCAGGCAGGAGGATGGGGCAGGTTTTGAACACAGTGGAAGGCTGAGGGACCAAGAAGGGGGGCAATGTACCTGAGGAGAGCAAGGGCCGAGGGCAACATCACTGCCCGCTCTGCTGCTGCCACATTACTGGCTCTATTTCTACCTGTGCAAGGAAGGGCATGAGGGGAAACGGTGCCAGGAGGTCAGGGCATGAGAGAGGAACCACACCAGCCATGCTCTGTCCGAGGGCATCAAAGTTGTGCTCAGCGAGGGAGCAGCACAGCGCATGGCTGGTGTGGAACTTCTCCCCTCCATCCCCACTATCCCATTCTGGCAGCCCTTCCCAGGGGTGCAGAAAGACTGCAGACGGTTTGGGGCTGAAGATGGAAACTGAAGTGATCAGGCTGGTCCTGGAGGTCACAGCTGCTGCCACCAAAGGGAAAGCTGAGACCCCCCAAACTGATCTCCCAGAACAGTCCATCAAACGGCTTCCAGGCTGCGAAGGCGGCGGAGGCTCTGGCCCAGCAGCCCCTGGCTCAGCCTGATGCAGGTTGCTGGGTCACACCAGAGACAGATGGAAGCAGAGAGAACAGGTAGGGTTCTGCCCAGCCCTGCGGACTGGCCTGAGTCCTGAGGAGGGTTGGCCCCATGGCTGGAGGTGAAAGCATGCGGGCTCAGTTGGCTTCAGATTCACAGCTGGGAGCTGGCCCTGCTCCAGGAGCTGGGGCTGGCCACGGGCTTCTTTGGAGCCTACTTGCCTTGGGGTTTGGCCTGGGGAAGAGAAAAACCCTGCTGTGATGAGTGTGATCCTCTGGGCAGAAGCCTCCCCAGGGTCCCTTCCCCACGTTGAGAGTGGTCACTAAGGGGTGACCTCCCCGGGAGAAATGGTGGTAAAGTGGTGACCTGGCAAGTCTTTCAAAGCACCCAGCAAGCTCATCACAAGCCCTCCCCCTGAAGATGATCAAGTTGCAAACTCCAAGCTTGCAGGGCAGAAGTGGGGGGGTGGCTGCTCCCAGTGCCATTTGCCATAGCACCCATTGGGCTGAGCCCAGCATGAGACTAGGTGGGCAGCAGCCCCAGGGCTTCTTTTATTTGTGGTGGAAGAGGGATTGTAGAGGAGCCAGGCTCATCCCAGTTGGAGGGAGAAGGGATGGAGCCCGAGACCAAGTATCCATGCCTTGGTAGAGCATGTCCCAGCTCTTCCCAGCAGCCCAGTCACACTGGGAAAAGCCTGTCTGGTGGTGGATAAACCCACCCCCAGGCTCCCCTCATTCCCAGCTGAACACAGGGCCAGGTCTTACCTTCCTGGCAGAGCTGGCATCTATCTTCTCTTGAAGGCGAACAACCCATGGGGCTTGGAGAGGGGCACAGAGGCGCTTGCCTCTCGTAGTGATGAACCTGCCAGGCCCACAGGAAAAAAAACAAGATGAGGTGAGCAGGACACCCTGGGGATGCTCCAGAGCAGCCCAAGCTCCCACCCACTGCCTCCCTCACTGCTGTCCCCCATCTCTACCTGGTAGTGACTTTCTTCCTTGTCTTTTGTCCCAAGTTTTCCCCTCCTGGCAGTTCTGTCCTGCTCTGACTGAGCCTCTATCTCCACAGTCTCTTCCACAACCCTCCCTATTCCCTCACCCACAAACCCTGCTCAACATCCCTCCTCCACCCTGCTCTGCCTCCCTCCCTGTCTCCCCGCAGGGTCCATCCCTTGGCCATCACCACCCTGGGGCTCTTACACAGTAGCCGGGATGTTGCAGCCATCCTGCACCAGCTGGAGCTCGTAATTCTGCACTATCCGTCGTGGGATGGGCGTCTCACTCGTCCGCAGACAGCAGTCAAGGACATTGTTCCCGCCGTGCACTGGAGGAAGAACACACCATGCAGGCTGAGGTTGCTCTTCTCAGGTCAGCTGCGCCTTCACCCAGCCCCCCCCGAGGGCGCGGGGGCTGTGGGGCCGCACCAGCGGAGCACGGCAGGATGGTGCCCACCAGCGATGCCCTCGCACGCAGCCCCGGCGGTGCACGCAGGAAGAAGCTTTATTGCCCCTGCGCCCCGGTGCTGGGAGCCCTTTGCCTCCTTCCGACAGAAAGCAAAGGAGGTGAGAAACAGCAGATGGCTGGAGGGCAGCCCTTCTGCGTGCCTGGGTCCCTCCCACACCCCCGGGGCCCACACCAGCTGTCAAGCGGGGCAGGATGGGGGTCTTCAGCCCACTTCAGGATGCTGTGATGCTGAAGACACCCATTCCTGAAGGGCTGGGAATGGCTTCAGCTACATTTGCTGAAGGAGTCATAGGTTTTGCAGCTACCCCATCACCACGACCCCACCTCCCGCTGAGGGACACAGCGGTCTGCATGTCACTGCGGGGTAGGGGAGCTTGGTTGCACTCCAAGCAAATGCCGTATTTACTGTTAATGCCCATCAAGGCTGGCAGTCCCAGGGATGCCTGTAACCCCAGGCACCAGCACCATGAGGTGTCTGGGCTCCCCAGCTCCCCGCAGCAGAGCAGAGGGCCTCGTGTCACCCACCCAGAGAGCTGTGAGCTGTGCAAACCCTGTGTTCAACACCAGTAGCCCCTCACACACAGGCTCTGCCCAAACACACGCCTTCCCTCCTGCTCCCAGCCCTGCCACCTGCCCCCAGGCTGCCCCATGCCAAAGGGTGCCAGGGATGCTCCCCCAGTGCACTGGGGAGAATGGGACCAAGGCAATCCCAGCCCAGTGTGCACAAGCTGGGCCAGGGCACTGGGAGGCAGGATTGCTCCACAGCCTTTCCAAGCGCAGGTTTCCAGTCCCAGTGCCCTGCAGGCTCCTGCCTGTACTTTGGGCAGGACAGAGTCCCACTAGGAGAGGTTACAAGCAGGAAACACAGGAAGGCTGCGACAGAGCCACAGCCGTGGGTCCCTCTAAAAGCCTGCTGGAAATGCAAAAGCGAGCAAGAAACTGGATCATCTCCCTTCCACAAGAAAGGCAGCCTGAGAGGTTCCCTCTTACCATCCAGGATACGTCCCAGCACCAGAAGACCGAGGCAGAGAAGATGCAGCCGCTGCATTTTGCTGCTGAGTCTGGCAGAGGATGGGCTGGGGGTGACGGTGCTCCAGGCAGGAGAGGTGAGCTCTGCACAGCTTCCCTGCACTCTGCTGTTGGTGCTGTCTGCTATTTAAACTTTCAGACCCTGGCTTTCACTTTCTTTTGGAGAAGAGGAGCGGGAGGGTCTAACAAGTCTTGCCACAGGCTGGATTTTAATCTTTGAGCAGTTACCAAATATCCCGGCTGATTTCCCTGCAGCCAGCTGCTCTGCAGTTCCAGAGCCAAATACCCTCCTGCTGTCTCCACTGACTGCACCCAGGCCACAGGGGCTGCTGGTCAGGGCCAGAGCAGCTCCAGGGTCCCTTTACCCTGCAAAAGCACCCCAGAGGCCCCAGGAAAGCACATAGGAGGTCTCACCCCATACATTTCCCAGTCTCTTCTCCAAAACATCTTTGGAACATTTCCATTAGGTATTGCATAGGCTCAACCCACTGATGCTGGGGGGAGAACTTGCCTCAACCCCATTTTGGGGTATACACTGGGGGTGATGCCTGGCTCCCCCTGAGCCCCCTCATCTGGTTGCAGGAGCTCCTCCTGCCCTCCTCATTGCCTGGTGGGGGGCACATCCAAAGCTGGTGGATGGAGGAGAGCCCATCCAGCATGCTCTACTCCAGGACCATGATCTCACATGCCAAAAGACAACCTCATTTCCAGGTGTCCCAGCAAATGGGCTGTCCTGGTTTGGGCTGAGATAGAGTAAATTTTCTTCCTAGTAGCTGGCATAGTGCTGCGTTTTGGATTTAGGGTGAGAATAATGTTGATAACTCACTGATGGTTTAGTTGTTGCTGAGCAGTGCTTGCACTAAGTCAAGGACTTTTCAGCTTCTCATACTGGCCTGCCAGAGAGAAGGCTGGGGTTGCACAAGAAGCTGGGAGGGGGCACAACCAGGCCAGCTGATCCCAACTGGCCAAAGGGATATTTCATACCATATGACATCATGCTGAACAAAAACCTGCGGGGAGTTGGCCAGGGCAGGTACCGTTGCTCGGGAACTGGCTGGGCATCAGTCAGCGGGTGGTGAGCAATTGCATTGTGCATCACTTGTTCTGTACATTCTTCTATCATTATTATTATTCTCCCTTCCTTTTTTGTCCCATTAGATTGTCTTTATCTCAGCCCATGAGTTTTACCTCTTTTCTGAGTCTTTCTCCCATCCCACTGAGGGGAGTGAGCGAGCGGCTGCGCGGTGTTCAGCTGCCTGTGGCATTAGACCACGACACGGGCTGATGGCCAAAGGCAGCTACGGAGCTTCCTGGAAACAGGTTATCTCAGCACAGGAGCAGAAATCCCCCACGGGGGCTGTGTGTGCGGCGCGGGGTGCCAGCTGCTCACCAGCTGCATGGGCACCGCAGGAGGAGAAGACCAGCGGTCCCAGTGAAAACCCTCACAGGGGCGCAGGGAAGGGGGCTGTTTCTCTTTGGGACGGTGACTCACCACCGTGCCAGTGTCACCTGTGGTGACGTCCCTTAACCATCCTGCTTCAACCGCGATACCTACCTGGAAGGATGCTGAGAGCAGTGGGGTTGTGCAGCCCGGGGAAGGAATGGTGAAGGGGGCCTTGCTACCCCTGTCAGCAGCTTCCTTGTAGGAGTTTGGAGAGACGTCAGAGCCAGGCTCTTCTCAGAGGCACCCAGGGACAGGATGAGAGAGGCAATGGCACTGGTTGCACCCAGGGAAATTCCCACTGATTGTAGGAAAAATATTTCCCCACAGGGGTGGACAAATCCTGGAGCAGGATCTCCATCCCTCCACCCTCTCCCTTGCTCCAGCTTTGGCCTCTCCCGGCACCTCGGCAGAGAGTGCTGCACAGGGACAAGTATCTACCTGGTGAAAAGACACAGGGCTGGGACCAGGGGACCTCAGTGGGCCCCTCTACTCCTCTCAGCAGTAGGAAATAGCAAGCTTTTCCCCTTGCCCACTCCACCGTAAGAAGCAAGAGGAGACTTCAGCCATGCCACCAGCCTCGTGCATGGGGTGGTCTCCTCCATCAGGAGAGCATCACCTCCGGCCACTCCTGTGCCCCAGCAAGCCGGTGCTGTGCCGAAGGGTTTAGGCAGGGGCAGGTGGGCAGGATGAGTGCCACAAACAGGATGAGCCAGCTTAACTTCAATCAGCACTTGCTGCCTTCTAGCATGCACAAGCTGTTGGTGAGAAAGCTTGGCTGGCAGAAGGGGATTTCAGGTGGCAGAGGATTAGTGTCAGTCATCAGCCCCAGCTCCCCTGTGGGTTTGGGGATGCAGGCTGGCTCTGGGACCTCGTCTCCACTTGATCTCCCCAGAGCACTGCCAAAAAGATGCCACAGCACGGAGAACACGGGCTGCTCACAGCTGATGCTGGTGGTCAGACCTCCAGGCACAGCCACTCCTAACCCAGAGCTGACTCCTCCCCAGGGGCTGGACTGACAGTATGAAGCGCCCCTGTGAAGAGGGGCCCCCAAAAGCAGAGCCCTGACCCACTGACAAGGGATGCAGGATGTGCTGGAAAATGGTAAACCCTCATGTCCTTGCATGTTCGATGGGTTTGGCAGCTACTGAAGCATTCCCAAGGACTGGAAAGGGGTGCTGGGGGGTGCTGGGGGTCCCATCTCTGGGAGCCCTCTCCAGGCTCTGCTGGGGTCCTAGTCACCGAGGCAAGCAGCGGGGTCCCCTGCCACCTTCCTGGCACAGGGGGCTCCCACACGCTGATGGCTCCTGGCTGGCCATGCACTGAAAGCAGCATGTCCCATGTTGGGAATACATCCTTTTTGGGGTAAAGCCCTTCACCGTCTCTGGCTGCAGGGCACCCCCTGCCCTTGAGCTGCCTGCAGTCCCTGCCAACACATGGGCAGGAAAAGAGTCTCTGCCTCCTGCCAGCAGCTGTCTGGGTGCCAACTGGGTGAAAGCATGGCTGTCCCAGTCACCGCTGCTCCCCAGGAGCAGCACCAGAGGGTGAGGAAAGGGGCTTTCCACTCGCGTTGTGAAAGGGGAATGTGATGGGTTTCCTGCCTCCCCCCCCGCCCCCCTCTGGGGGTCAGTGGGATTTCTAAGAAGAGAGTGGTCATCTCTGAAGTGCATCCCTGTGGCATGCAGGGAGGTCACCCCATCCCCCTCTCAGGGCTGATCCTTGGGGACCAGAAGAGATGGCACAGATGGGGGAGAGGGAGTGTTTGAGGGTCCAGGCTCTTCAGAAGCACACACAGGCAGGGAATGGGCAGGGGATCCAGTGTGATTTGGGAAGAAGGAAGAACATTGCATGCGCTTGACTTCATCCAGAGCAATCTGGGAGCAACTGGGGTCCGGCCCTGAGGACACCACAGGCAGTGCAAAGCATCCCTGAGCACTCACCCCTGCAGAAACCTCAATAGACCTGCCAGCTGTGGGAGACCCTGGGGGCAGATGCTCCCTGCTGGGCTTGTGGGCTCCGGTGCATTCCCTGGGGTGCCTTGCGGTCCTCAGCTTTCCACCTCCAAGCTATGGAGCTGGAAAGGGCAAAAGGGGAATTTCAGCAAATTCCAGGCACAGTCAGTCCCTGAGGCAGGATCTGGCCAGGCTGCATTCACCTCATTGGGAAATACTGGGCAGGCGTTGCAGCTCTTTCAATTTCCCTTACATCTCCCAGCATGAGGGAGCCTCCCGCAGAGCTCCCATTGCAACCCCGGTCCCAGTGCAGCATGGGGACTGAGGTCACCACCAGCCCGTGGGGCTCAGCGCCCCACTGGATCTCATCTCACTGTGGGAACCCAGACAACCTGATTTCAATGGAATTAGGGAAAAGGAAAAAGCAAGCCATGTCTTTTCCCAGAGGGAGTAAAGATGGTCCTGAGGGTCTGGCTAAGAAGGATGCAGAAGGTGCCAATTCCTGCTCTGTTAGAGCCCATCTCTCCCTAACACTCGTTGCCTTCAGTGGCATCGATGTTGAGGTCACCATAAGCGATGGACAGCAGAGTCGACAACTTTCAGCTGTGTCCCTCTCAACTCCACCCAGATGAGCACCCATCTCCTGGGTCCCTGCAACACTCATGTCCCTCAGCATCATCTTGGGGCTATGCAGTCTCCCAGCTGGGTGCTTCTTGCAAATGTCCTTGGGCATGTTGTGATGGCACTGAGATGGCAGTGGATGGGCAGGATGCCCCCAGCCCTGGCTCCCTGCCATCACGCTGCCTGTCCTCTACAACCTCTTCAGGGGTCTCAGGAGGGGATGGCTGGGGAACAGCTCGGACACCTGTGCAAAAAGCAGCCCAGCAGAAATTTCCTTGTCATCTCCCATGTGGCTTGGCAGGAAGGATGTCTGGTGAGGCTGCACCCGAAACTCACCTATGGGCAGATCTAAAAGCACATAGGATGGACCAAAGGCCCTGAAGACCGCTCTCTTTCACTGCTCTGTTGGCTTTTAGACTGACATCAATCAGAGGAGGCTGTGGGGTTCTCAGTCTGGTGGAGCTCTGGGACACGGCTCACATTGACTCTACTGCGGACATCCTCGAAGGAGAGCAGATGCTCTTCCACCACCCCTTGGAGAGCTGCAGCCCAGGAGCAGGTTTGCAATTCCCAGTGGGATGGGAGGCAAGCAGAGGGATGTGGGGGTCTGAGCAAGATGACTGTCAGCATGAGGACACACCAAAGTTGAGGGGCTCCAGCCAGCGAAACAGAGCAGGGGGGAAGGAGGGCACTTGGGAGCTACATGTAGGCAAGGAAAGGGTTGAGAGGAGGCTCTGGGCTGGGCACCTCTAGGAGAGGATGGCCACCAAGGGATGGCTGGGACTGGGGAACACCTTGGGACAGGAAGGGTGGGAGTCCCTATCACCCACCAGCCACTTCTCCACCTCCTCTCTGCTCTCAAGACCATGGCAGACCCCAGGAAGGCAGTGTTGATAGACACAGCACCAAAAAACACCTTGAAGCTTCAGTTGGAAACCACAGCCCCTCCAGCACCCACGCGGCCCCAGAAGCAGCCCTTGGCACTCACGGGGCTGCTACAGCGTAGCTGGCTCCTGCTTCTTGGGAACGGCGCGGGGCAGAGGGACAGACCTGCTGTGCATGCCTCCAGGTGAGCCTCGCTGGAGCTCAGCCCGGCGTTGCAGCCCAGCGCACTCCGCTGCCGACACAAGCCCGGAGCGCCATCTGCGCTCATGACTTGAGCTAATAATTTGGCCCACATTCAAAATTTCCCTTCTTTTTTTGGCTGCACTCTGAGGTTTCTGTCTTTCCTGGCTACTTTCTGCTGCGGCTAACGTTCTGCTGCGGCTAAATACTTTCTGTTCCAGGGTGGCCGAGCCCTCCTAAATTTTTGCTCTGCTTGACATGGGTGCAGTTTTCTTGCCTTCCCTGCAAAATGGGGGGGAGGAGGGGGAGCTTGTGCAGCCCTTGCACACCTACTGCCCCGGGCACACACTGCATCAACCCTGCCCTCTCGGTGCACATGGGATGAAGCAGCAGGTTTGCCCTGCCATGGGGTACAACTGTGTGAATCATCTGCTGCTTCACTGCAGCATCGTCACGGGGCATTGTCTTTACATTGCTTGTCTCAGCTGGGGTCCGTGGATTCACCTCCTCGATGGGGAAAGGGTTTTGGCCCCTGCTGCGTGCTCCAGATCCCAACCCATCAACTGTCCCTTCAGCCTCTCTTAAGGAATCTCCTTGGAAGTGTTTGTCTGGTGCCACCTCACCATGCAGCACTGCAGCCACTTGCCTTGCTAGCAAGAGGCTCCCACTAACCCTGACACGTGATTTTTCCTTAAAAGCAGCATTCTGCAGGAAAACTGGAAGCAGTGTGCAAATGCCGGTGTGTGTGCAGGCACGGGCACATGTGAGGCTGCATTTGTTCATCCGTTTCTGCGCTCACACATGCCTTCCTGCACCAATATCAGTGCCCAAGCATGGGACAAACTCTGGTGCTCTTCCATAAGTTCTGTTTTCAGGGTAAAGTTTAGGGAAAATCAGAGCACCCTCATATGCATGTTTTTTAACCTGTCTTAGCCTAAGGCCCACCTAGCATCTGAGGGGAAAATAACTGCCTGTGAGGTGTTTACAGCCACAGAGACATCAGGATACATTTCACGTGCTGGCTC